ACTCATTCATTCTATCATTCATTCATTCACTCATTCATTCATTCATTCCATCATTATCTTCAGCGTCATCGTCATTAATATTTCTTATTTTCTTTATTTCCAATTTGGATTTTTTTTTCAAAAAAAAAAACTTCTCCAGTCAGTGAAAATCCCAAAAATGAAAGAGGACACACTCTTCGAGATGAGATTTGCCGCTCATCATCATCGTTATCAAGACTCGCCTACTCACCACAATCATCATCATCATCATGATAGTGATGTACACGGTGAGGTGACGAGAGATGATGATGGTGGTGGTGGTGGTGAAGATGACGACGGTGAGGATGGTAACGCGAGTAGGAAGAAGTTGAGGTCTCTAAAGAAGTTTGTGGAGATTTACGAGGGGGACTTGAGTGAATTGGCTGTGTGTTCTTCAGGGTTAGCACTGCTGATGCTGCTGATGACGATGATGCTGATGATGATGCTGATGATAATGATGAAGACGACGACGATGATGATTGTAGTAACGATGGTAGCGACGACGGTAGCGATGGTAGCTGCTGATGCTGATGATGATGCTGATGATGCTGATGATGATGATGAAGACGACGACGATGATGATTGTAGTAACGATTTATATTGCTGTTGTTATCTTTGATTAGCAATTTCCAGTATCTATTTCTTTCTTCATCATATCAATCCTTAACCGTCACTCACTCATCATTCTCTCATTCATTCAATCATTCATTCATTCATTCATTCATTCATTCATTCATTCATTTCTCGTTCATTCGTTAACTCATTCATTTACTCGATGCTTCATTAATTTACTCGATCATTCATTCATTTTCTTAATCATTCATTCATTCATTTATTCATTCAATCATTAATTAATTAATTCATTCATTCATTCATTCATTCATTCATTCATTCAGGATATCGTTGTTGGCTCAAACTCGACTGCGCGCCAAACCAAGACGCAACAACAAAGGTTCTGTGAATCCATTAAAAACCAGGTCCATGGTTGTCGAGGTGAGTGGGTGATTGAATGCATGAACTGATGAATTGGTGAATAAATGAATGAATGAATGATCAAATAAATATTCGATTGAATGATTGGTTGAATGATTGATTGAATGTATTAAAAAACGAATGAATGAAATCCTGAACGCAGCATACGTTGCCGCAACATTGCTGTTAAAAATGAATTGATGAATGAGCAAGTGAATGCTTAGGTGAATGAATGAATGAATGAATGAATGAATGAATGAATGAACGAACGAACGAATGAACGATTGAATGAACAAGTGAATGAACAAATGAATGGATGAAATAGTACTTATCACCACAATCGCTTCAGTTATCAGATGAATACCTGGAAATAGGAACAGGCGTTGCGAGGAGAGAGATGGAGAGAATCAAAAAAGAGAGAAGTTCGTGTTTTATTTTTTTTTCCCTCTTAAAATTCTTCATTCATTTGTTTGTTCATCATTTTTTCATTCATTCATTCATTTATTTATCCATTCATTCTTTCATTCGTTCGCTCATTCATTAATACGTTCGTTCGTTCGTCCGTTCATGTGATACTTTTCACTTCCTTACAGTCATAGGAGTATCACACATTGCACAGGATGCTCTGGCTGGTACGTGTGTTGTTCATTTGTCTACATAGGCAACATTTTTTTGCATAGGACTTGATCAATAGACGTGTTTAATAGACCTGCTCAATAGACTTGTTTAATAGACTTGTTTCATAGACTTGTTTCGTAGACTTGTTTCATAGACTTGTTTAATAGACTTGTTTCATAGACTTGTTTAGTAGACTTGTTCAATAGACCTGTTCAATAGACTAAACAGTTACTCATTTACTTATCATTTCTAATTAGCTTGCTTGCTTTATTATCAGCTTTTGATTGAGAAGCAACCGAACATCAAATCAGTCTTACATTTGACAGTTTTAAAATCTTCTAAGTATTCATTCTTTGACCAACCCATCAAGCAAACAACTAATCACACGACTTACTAACTACTTTAATTAGCCAATCATCCAACCAACCAATCAATTAACCAACCAATCAACCAACCAATTAACCAACTAATCAACCAACCAATCAACCAGCCAATCAACCAACCAACCCACCAATCAACCAACCAATCAACCAACCAATCAACCAATCAATCAACCAACCAATCAACCAACCAATCAATCAACCAACCCAGGCCTGGCGAGCAAAGAGACATTCAGCGTTAGCAACTTGAAGAAGGGCAGTTCCTTCCATGGCACAGGACTGACCGACAGACATCTTCCATACAAGCAGGTCATGCTACTCCAATTGAAAGGTCAAACATTTATTCGTTTTTTTTTCTTTCACTCAATCATTCGTTTGTATTTTGTTTGTTTTTTCGTTCGTTCGTTCATTCGTTCATTCATTCATTCCTTCTCATTCGTTCATTCATTCATCAATTCATTCATCAATTCATTTATTCGTTCATTGTTTATTAGTTCATACATTTAATTTTATGCATGCCCACACACACACGCACGCACACACGCACACATATTTTTAATTTAACAGGGCGAAGAGCATGTCAAACGCGATTGGTCGATCCGGTCCACCAATCAGTGAACAGTGGCGATTGTTTTGTCCTCGTGACCGGGGAGGCTGTTTACCTCTGGATGGGGAAGTACAGTAACGTCATCGAGAGGGCTAAGGTGAGTTTTCACACATGATGATGATGATGATGGTGATGATGAAGATAATGGTTATGATGGTGATGATGACGAGGATGATGATGATGATGGTGGTGATGATGATGATAATAATGATGAAGATGGTGGTGATGATGACGACGAAGATGATGGTGATGGTGATGATGATGATGATGGTCAAAATAAGTGCAGTGATGATGATGATGTAATAATTTGATGATGAACTGATGGTGATAAATTGACGACTACGATGATGGTGATGATGATGATGACGGTAGCAAGAGAGTGGTCATGGTGATGATAATGATGTCAATTACGATGACGAGCAAGATGATAAGGATGATGATTATGACGTTGGCGATGATGTTTAAATTTATGGCTCTTCCAAATTCTCACTCGATGCTATTTTTAAAAACACAATTCCTGCTTTCTGATAGGCTCTTGACCTGGCCAATCAGATCGTAGATAAACATGACCTGGGGGTTCGGACCAACTGCCAGCTGGTCACCATTGACGAAGATAAGACTTCGTCGTCGGGTTTCGTGGCGTCAAGGTTCTGGAAGATTCTCGGGGTTTCTGACGAGGATCTTGTTAACTACAATGTCGCTGGTTTGTTCTCCTTTCATGACGTAATCGCCATCATCGCTGACGTCATCATCATCGTCATCATCATCGTCATCATCATCGTCATCATCATCAACGTCATCATCATCATTTCAATCATCATCATCATCGTCGTCGTCGTCATCATCATCATCATCAGCTCCTGGACCGGCTGAGGAGGATGAGTTATTTGAGGCGGGCATCGTCTCCACCAATAGGATCTACGTATTCAAAGATGTCGACGATGATGGCTTTGACGACGACGACGATGATGACGACGACAAAAATGATGATGATGATGCTGATGGTGATGGTGGTGGCGGTAGTGGTGGTAAGAAGCAGGAGAAAGTGGTGGTTAAAAGTGGTGATGGTGGTGGAAAACTGGTTCTCGTTAGGAAATGGTCTGGTGTTGTGCTATTGCATGCCATGCTCAAACAAGAACAGGTTGGCGATGATGATGATGATGATGGGATGGTTGTGATGATGTTATGGTGGGGATTATGAAAATGATGATGATAGAATGGTGATGATGATGACGATGATGTGATGGTGGTGATGATGATGTGAGGATGGTGGTGGTGATGATGTGAGGATGGTGGTGGTGATGTAATGGTGATGATGATGATGATGATGATGATGTTCGGAATGTTTCATTTTTTTCCCCCATTCCAAAACTTCCAGGTTGTTGTGTTTGATTTTGGAAGTGAGATGTACACGTGGTCAGGTGAGTGTGGCCGGTTTCTTTTGTTCGTTCGTTCGTTCGTTCGTTCGGTTCGTTCGTTCGTTCGTTTCATACGTTCATTTGTTTTGCTTCATTCATTATTCTCTTCACTCAGTCAGCCCTTAAATAAATAGAGTCTTCGAGTTTGAATTAATTAGCACTTAATTAGCAATCAGTTAAAAAGCAAGATTAATTGACTATGGAACAATTTAGTTGCTGAATAATGTATGCAATTGGTTAATTAATTAATTAATCAATTAATTAACCAGGATAAAAATAAATTAATTAATTACTCAAACTTTTAATTGGTTAATTAGTCGGTTAATTAATTTGTCAGGTAAACTGGTTCCATCTACGAAGCGGAAGAAAGCATTATCCTTAGCACACCACCTCTGGAAGATGGGTTATGACTATGAGGAGGTCTTGGTCAACCCTGTAAACCCCCTTTCTGCTGGTTAGTTAGTTGGTCGGTCGGTCGGTTGGTTGGTCCGTTGGTTAGTAAGTTGGTTGGTTGGTTGGTTGGTAAGTTGATTAGTTGGTTGTTTAGTTGGCTGTTTGGTTGGTTGGATAGTTGTTTGGATTAATTAATTAATTAATTGATTAATAAATGTTGGTTGATTTATTAATTTTTAATTTCCGTAATTTTAGTCATTTTTCATATTGATTGGGTGGTTGGTTGGTTGTTTAGTTGGCTGTCTGGTTGGTTGGTTAGTTGGTCGGATTAATTAATTAATTAATTAATTAATTAATTGATTAATAGGTGTTGGTTGATTTACTAATTTTTAATTTCCGTAATTTTGTTCATTTTTCATATTATTATTCTTTTCACCTGAATAATTTAAACAATGAACAGAGAGGAAAGCTGCCCACCGACCAGATTGGTGTCTGTTCTGTAAGGTGCATATCATCTCGTTGTCGTTATGTGTGCTGTGTGTGTGTGTGTGTGTGTGTGTGTGTGTGAAAGAGTATGTGTGTGAGTGTTTGTGTATGTGTGTGTGTGTGTGTGTATGTGTGTGTGGTTTTGTACAATATCGTCATTATTACCATCGTCATCGTCGTCAGCCTCATCATCATCTTCATCGTCGTCGTCAAAATCCCAACTTGCAGGTGTCACAAAACCTGGAGACCGTGCTTTTCAAGGAGAAGTTCATAGACTGGCCCGATTCTGACCGCATCCTCAAGGTCAAAGGTCACGATGCCTCCAATGAGGCTGCCGAGAATAAGGCGAGTTGGCTGGTTGTTTGATTGGTTGGCTGGTTGTTTGATTGGTTGGCTGGTTGTTTGATTGGTTGGCTGGTTGTTTGATTGGCTGGCTGGCTGGCTATCTATCTGTTGGTTGAATGGTTGACTGGTTGATTGACTGGATGACCATTTCAACAATCATTTATCAGCCAGTGATCGTAGCAACGAATCCATGTGAGGTGAGAGAGATGTTGAAGATGAGAGAGGGTGCGCCATTCTTGCTTTTAGAGGGGTATCATATTGGCAGGGGCAATAAATGGTTGGTCGATTTTTTGATTAAGAGCCAGTTGTAGGTTGCTATTCATTCTTTTAGTTATTAATTAATTAACCAATCAATCAATCATTTCATTCGTTCATTCATTCATTCATAATAATTCATTCACCTTATCGCAGGATTGAATGGGTGGACGGCATCCAATGGGAGCACGAGATGCTGACATCTGACCTAGAAGTTTGGAACGTCAGCGAATCAGGTTGCGTGAAATTAGGTCAGGCCAGTTTCGGTCAGTTTCACGCTGGCGATACTTACGTTGTTAGATGGAGGTACAATGTCAATCAAATAAGTTAGTGATGGGTAATTAATTGATTGATGGATTTATTTTTCGTTCATCCATTCATTCTATCATTCATTCATTCATTCATTCAATCATTCATTCATTCATTCATTCATTCATTCAATCTTTCACTCATTCGTTCATTCATTCATTCATTCAATCTTTCATTCATTCATCCATCCATCCATCCAACAATTACTCCACCGTGTATATTTAATTTGTTTCATATCAGGTCACAATTTGAAAGGGGACGTGTCGAAAAAGCAAGTCAGCACAGGTTACGTCATCGTGACGTCATCATCGTCATCTTCTACGTCAATCACCATCCTTTACTTTGTAGCCACCAACCCAATTGTCATCATCGTACTGTCATAGTAGATCAGCACATCCACAATTGCGTCATAGACGTAATAGCGTCGCTATGCTCTCATTACCATCGTCCTTAATTACGTCATCATCGCTATCATCGTAATGACGTCATCATCGCCATCATCGTAATGACGTCATCATCACCATCATCGTAATGACGTCATCATCATCACCATCATCATCATCATAACCACAGGCCGCCATAGGTGTGCCTACTTCTTCTGGCAAGGCGTCGAGTCCAGCATCAACGAGAAAGGAGCATCTGCCCTCATGACGGTCGAACTTAATCAAGATAATGGACCCCACGTCGGTGATGATGATGATGACGATGGTGGTGGTTGTGGTGGTGGTGATTTCTGGTTGTGGTTATGATGCAGTGGTTATAATTTCGTCGACTATCATATTTATATTTTATTTACCAAAAATTATCCATAATATATTTATTATTTTGTTTCTATTTACTTTTTTTTATTGAAATTAAAAATTAAAGGTGAGAATTGTAGAAGGCAAGGAGCCATCTTGCTTCATTGATCTCTTTTCAAGACGACCAATGATAATCCACCGAGGCAAGCGCTTCAACCAATCAAAATCGAGCCCCAAGTCTGACGTTAAATATTCAAGATTCGAACCCGCGGTACCGTCGCCCTTATTGATGACGTCATCGTCGTCGTCGTCACTGCCAAGATGTCGTTATAAGCTGTACGCAATGAGGAATGATTTCGTGGAGAATGCTTATCTGTTGGAGGTGGAGTGCCGTGTGAAGAATCTGAGAAGTAGAGGGTCCTATCTTTTGATCGATGTTAAGCAAGGTTGGTTGGTTGGCTGGTTGGCTGGTTAGTTGATTGGTTGGTTGGCTGGTTGGCTGGTTAGTTGGTTGGTTGGCTGATTGGTTAGATGGTTGGTTGGTTGGCTGGATGGTTAGTTGGTTGTTTGGTTGGTTGGTTGGCTGGCTGGCTGGTTAGTTGGTTGGTTGGCTGATTGGTTAGTTGGTTGGTTGGTTGGTTGGCTGGTTGATTGGCTGGCTGGTTGGTTGGTTGGCTGGAAAAAATATTTGATTAATTGTTCATCTTTCATTTGGATGAAAGGGGACGTGGTGGTATGGCACGGCTGCAAGTCGAGTTCAGAGGTCAGGAATGTTATGAAGAAGTTGGCTGATGCCATTATGTCCACTGAGTAAGTCGTTATCGTCAAAATGTAATATTAAATATAAGGAATGATGAATTATTCGAGCACCGCTGAATTATGAATTATCAGTATACCACTAAAGGATGAATTATTTATTTAGTGCATGGTCATGATGGTGAATTATATTTATTTAGCGCTTCATTGAACTCATGATCTCACTCACAATCATCGCGATTATCGTCACTCGCACATCGCAATTTTTAGATGCCCTGCTGAAATTGGACTCAATCGAACCGCAGCAACCACATCAACCGCGACTACATCAGCCGCAACCACATCAGACGCAACCTCATCAGCCGCAACTACATCAGCCGCAACTACACCAGCCGCATATATTGAAATGGAGGAGGGTAATGAAACGTCATCATTCTGGAATGCTTTCCCTGATGCTTGCTCGCTGATGAAGAAGCGGAAGAGGAATGGTGATGATGAGGGGGATGGTGATTGTGACGAGGAAGAGAAGATGAAAGAGGAGGAGTGCATCTGTCGGTCTCTCTATCACAGTCTTCTTAATGGTTGTTTAATGTTTAACGATGTTTCGGATGTCTTTTCTGGCAGATACGATCAGATGATGTTCTTGAAATGATGGTTGTAATGATGATGATGTGTTTCATGGTGACGATGATGAAGGAGAAGATGATGACGATGATGACGATGATGATGACGATGATGATGACGATGATGATGATGATGACGACGATGATGATGATGATACCAACAGACACCCGTCCCTTCGATCACCACACACCACGTCTCTTCCACTTGACCATGACAACGTCTGAACTCGAATTCGAAGAAGTGACCAACCTGACCTCTGAACCGGGTCAGAGGTCATCGCCCTTCCCTTTCATGCAGTCGGACATCTACGCGGCCGATCAACCAGGTCTGGATAGACGCACGAATGAATAAATGAATAAATTACTGGATGAATAAATTACTAAATGAATAAATTACCGAATGAATAAATTACTGAATGAATAAATTACCGAATGAATAAATTATTGAATGAATAAATTATTGAATGAATGAATGAATGAATGAATGAATGAATGAATGAATGAATGAATGAATGAATGAATGAATGAATGAATGAATAAATGGATGATGAATGAATGGATTGATAGAGACAATGAGTAGGCTAATTAGCGGTTGAGCAGTTGATTGAGTGAACACACATTCATGGAAAAGAGAAAATTTGAAATTCAGTGTTTTTGAGTATAAACGAACCATTCGGTAAATGTCTAAATGAAAAATTTCAATGAATTTGACACAGTGGAAGATTTCTTAAAACACGATTAAATGACACGCACACACACGCACGCACACAAACACGCTTGAAAGTATACAAACACACCTAAAAACATACAAATCCACACACAGACACACACAAACACGTCTAAAAGTATACAAACACATAACACATCTATGACATACAAACCTACACACACACACACCTACACACACAAACAAACACACACCCACGCACACATCCACACACGCACAAACACACACAGCTCTCTTCCTGGTAGACAACCACAACGACGTCTTCCTCTGGCAGGGATGGTGGCCAAGCTCCTCAGCCGACCGACCAAACCTCCAAACTGGTTCTGCCACAGCCAGGTTCGCCCAGATGAGGAAGGCAGCTGTGAAGATGACCCTGGAGTATTGCACCGGTTTGTAGGGCTGTAGGGGTAGTTTGTACTTCCGCTTTGTTCCCGTTACATTTTTTGTCTTTTTATTTGTTTTGTTTTTGCTGTATTTATGTCGTTGTTTTTGTTGTTGTTGTTGCTGTTGTTGGTTGTTGTTGTTGATGTTGACGTTGTTGTTGCAGTTGTTGTAGTTGATGTTGCAGTTGTTGATGTTGCAGTCGATGTTGATGTTGTTGTAGTTGTTGTTGATGTTGTTGTTGTCGTTTGTTGTTGCTGCTTTTGTTGTTGCTGTTGTTGTTGTAATTAATCTTTGATGATAATGTTTAAAAAATTTGCAACTGCAGAGAAACGAAGACAAATTCGAAATGCGGTGACGGCCAGCAGCAACGACAGCAGCGACAGCAACGACAACGCCACATCATTCCAGATCGAAAGCCATTTAGTACATGCCGGATGTGAGCCGCCCCGCTTCACCTCCATCTTTCCGCTGTGGTCGGTGGACCAGGACGCCGCTGCCTATGCTGCCGAGGTGATTGATGATGATGATGAGTAGGATGATGATGAGGAGGAGGAGGAGGAAAAGAATGACGATTAGGATGATGATGATGGTGATGATGATGGTGGTGATGGTAATTCTACCGGACAGATGAACCACACAAGGACGCCGATGGTGTCTCTTCATGAAATGAACCGACGCTTCAACAGGTTGTTATCTTGGTCTTCACTATCATCTGCTTCTTCATCATCACCATCATCATCATCTGCTTCTTCATCATCACCATCATCATCATCTGCTTCTTCATCATCACCATCATCATCTATTTGATCATCATCACCATCATCATCTATTTCATCATCATCACCATCATCTATTTCATCATCATCATCGTCTTCATCTACTTTATCATCATCATAATCTATTTCTTCACCATCATCATCATTTATTTCATCATCATCACCATCATCATCCAAATTATCACCATCATCACCGTCATCATCATCACCGTCGTCATCAGATCGACCTTCACCTTAGAAGAGTTGAAGGCCAGGCCCCTGCCAGACGGTGTGGACCCTCTGAAACTCGAGACCTACCTTGCCGATGACGAATTTGAAGTTGGCGATTTTATGATTATGACGACGATGATGACGACGATGATGATGTAACGATGATGATGATGACGACGACGAT